ACACCAGCAGCAGTTGATGCAACCTATAAAAATATTATTATTTATTATTTATTATTTATTTTTATAATCAATTAATTTAATCAAATCTCTTTGATTAAAAAAAAAAAAATTACTTGTCCTAAAAATCCAGGTGCTGAAGATGGAGTTGGAGCAGGAACTGAAGGAGTTGAGGTTTTAGAAGGAACATTAGTCGAAGAAGCTACTGGTGTTGGAGCTGGTGTTGGGGCAGCTTTGACTGGTGTTGGGGCAGCTTTCACTGGTGTTGGTGCTTTGCTGGTACTAGTAGAAGTTCGATTAGGTGTCGAACGACTAGAGGAACGACTAGAGGAGGATTTACCAGAAGAACGACTACGACTACGACCACCGCGTGGCATTTTTGAAATAACTGATAAAAGTGTGTTAAAGTGTAGTAAAACCGAAACAAGAAAATGTATAAAAAAAAAAATGATTATAAAAAAAAATAACAATAAGGCAAGATTATCTTTTTTGTACAGTTACACGGGCGCATAACCGATTATATATTTTTGACCGCAGTTTTAATTTTCAGACGATCAGAATAAAAATTTTTTTTTTCGATAAAAGTCTCTTTTCCGATTATTTATTAACAATAAAAAGAAACCATTGAGAGAATTTTTAAGAAAAAAGTATCATAAATTTAGAAATGAGTCAAGCGAGTGCAGCGGCAGATGCAACTGATAGAAATGTGGAAATCTGGAAGGTTAAAAAATTGATCAAGAGCTTGGAGGCTGCCAGGGGGTAAATAATTTTTTTTCATCTTCTGGAACTTTCATAATTTTTCGTTTTCTTTTACTTATACTTTCATTTTTTTTTACTTTCATTTTTTACTTTCACTTTTTTAGGAACGGGACCTCTATGATCTCCCTCATCATTCGTAAGTCGAATGTAAATAAAAGTTATTAATTTTAAATTATTTTCATATTCTAATAAAAAAAACTTCTAATTAACTTTTCATATAGCACCCAAAGATCAGATTTCTCGTATTGCGAAGATGTTAGCAGATGAATATGGAACTGCTTCTAACATAAAATCTCGGGTTAATCGATTATCAGTGTTGGCTGCAATTACATCAACACAACAAAGATTGAAATTATACACTAAGGGTAAAAATAAATTAATTAATTAATTAATCTAATTTAATGTCTGTGCAAAATATTATTAATATTATATAATGTATATTTACCCCCTTAATAATAATAATAATAACAATAATAATGATATAATAATAATAATAATAATATAATAATAATGATGTATAAATT